GAGTCAAAGCACTTGCTGGCAACACGATTTCGTTTGGAGGTTGGAACAATCGGGTCAACCTTCGGGAGCACAGAAGATGATGATGACGATGATGACGGGATTTGGGACGATGACCGGAGACTCCAGGAGATCCACGTTTGAGGGCTGTGTGATTTCCGCTGTATCCTGTGGACACACGCTGCATGCTCTTTGAACTTGGCCATCTCAGAAGAGATCCGCTTAATTATGTAGGGCTAATATGGCCCTGTTGCACAGGTACAGGCCGGGAATGGTTCACTTGGGATGTTTTCCAATTGATTAGTCTTGAGCTTTTGCATTACAGATTTTGGGTGGAGAGGTACGGAAACACCATGAGAGCCATGTGAATTCGACACGCACGGGCATGCAAGACCTTGCCTGGCATTGATGTGGCAGAAAGCAGCCGCACTCTGTCGGATGTGGTTTTGGCAGATGCAGGCCACTGTTTCGCATTTCAATATGTAGACTAAGTCCCATCAGGGACTATATAGAACCGAGGATGTTTGCAACTGAACTGACATCCTTTAGACGCTCTGCGCTCATGGTTTCTCGCAAAAGTGGGGCACGGCGACACGTGGTCATTCCAGCAGATCAATCAACCCAGCTTAGCCACTTACCAAAGTGGAATGATGACATTCGACTCAAAGGCCAGTTCAACAACAGACACGTCCTTTTGCAATGGATTCCCAAGCTCTTTTCATTTCGTTTTGCTGCTCTCAGATGAAGTACTGAAATTTGGCACTAGTGTATACTTTATGTACACATAATTTGTACTGGGCAACATGAACATCAGCTGCCCGCCATTCTCTCTAGCAACGTTCAGAGGCACATCATGTGAAGGTCTGTCGAGCAGAGTGTGTGGGCTGCTGTAAACTGGAGACACATAAAGTATCAAAGTCCAAGCACAACTTTCGAAACATGGACAAGACCTGTTTTGTGATAGTTGGCGCTTGGGCTTCGCGGCCACCGCACATCAATAGACGCTTCTGATCCCCCCATGACCCACGTGCGGTTGGACGGAGCCAGCGACGTTGATGCAAGATGCTTGGCCTGATGCCAGGCGTGGAGACCGGTACTGGCAGTTCAGTTGGGAAGACTTCCCTGCTGTTGAGGTCCAAAGAGACCATTAAATCCGCGTGCCACCATACTTATAGGACAAAATCTATGGTTTGGGTCGGGCCCCCTGGTTGGTTCAAAATGGAAAGTGGACGGGGGCCGACCCTGACCGTCCCCATAAGAGGTCCCTCAAGCCAGAGATTTTGTCCATCACTCATGCATTGCCTGTCAGGATAAAGAGACTCTAGGGTCAATCATACTGTTCTGCTTCTTATCTTCAAATCGTGGCCAGCAGCTGCCTTTGTTCAAGCCCCAGGACTGGTACACTACCTGCTCTGCCAACAGCACTTTCCAGCATCTTTCACCCGTACCATGGTACGTCGTCCAAGGCGGAACGGAAGTTGTGTAGCCCACATGTCTTCAAGCTTGTTCAAACCAGTCACCTGCGAGGCTTTCGGTTCATAGATTTATCGAATCGGGTCCCAGTTGCTCGAAGATGAGTAAGATGAGAAGAGCTTCAAGACACTCATTTCCAAGGACTTAAAACTTGGTCAGGAATGAGGCAAATCATTCACTACAGTTGAGCTCCGTGAGGCGGTGTTCTTCTGAACCTGCTGCAGGTGTGGCTCCTTTTGGCCCAGCCGAGGTGCCAAGATTTCACCAGAAACTGATGGTGAGGAAAGAAAGGGGAAAAAACAACATAATCAGGAGAATGCCTTCAGACCTTTTGTAAAGGCCTTTTATTGGATATGTATTATATATATATATATGTATATTGGACCGTTCTTTTTCTTCCATGCTTCCTTGCTTTCTTGCTCGCTCGCTTGCTTGCTCGCTTGCTCGCTTGCCTGCCTGCCTGTCTGCCTGTGTTCTTTGGTTCCTCCAGTTACTCGTTTCTTGCCAGGGCACACTCACATTGGTATTGCATCCATTGAAGTCATTTCTTGCACAACTGTTTAAAACCAGACGAGAGTCATTCAGTGATAGCACTTGCTGTGCACCTCCCTTGAAACCACACACCGCCCACCGCTCTGCTTGCCGCTTGCCAGCGCGGACTCTAGCGACTCAGAGAGTGCGCCAAAGCCATCTAGCTTCAAGGTGGGGGTGACTCAGCTGCTACATAGCAAAACTGGATCTGTTGCCTGGCAGGTGATCTATTTGGTCTACAAATCCTTAGGGTTTGCATGGCAGTTGGCTGCTTGACCTGAGTCTGAGTTATTGAGCTGGTGGATGTGCAAAGACAAGATGCGAGGTCATCGATGGTGCCATGTTAAACGAGTACTTGGAACATGCAGGCCGATGCTTAAGCGTAGGATGGTAGGGCCAAGTATTAATTTATTGTACTATGCTCTGAAAAAAGGATGGCCAGACGCCCAACTGCGTCACACCACCCTTGCTCCGGCAGGTGACTTTTCTGTGCTCCAGAATCTTCTTTGCATCTCACGCCTCTTTTCTGCGAGCCCCAATTCGAAGAGCAGCGTGACCTGGTGCATTGGCTGCAAAGGGCCATTTGAAAACCTAATAGCCTAATAGCAAAAGGAACCGAATCGAAATGGCCTCCAACCTATAATACTCGTAGCAATGGCCTCCAACCTCATAGCAATGGCCTCCAGCCTACTAGCAATGGCCTCCAAGCTAATAGCAATGGCCTCCAAGCTAATAGCGATGGCCTTACTAGCGATGGCCTTTCTAGCGATGGCCTCCAACCTACTAGCAACAATGTTTTGAAGTGATCTCACAATGTCCTTGTGTCCTTTACGCTTTCAGAAAGTTCTAGATTTCAACTTTTCATCCCAGGCTGTCGGTGATCTTGGCGTTAGCACTGAGCCCTGAGCTGGCTCGTGCCACCCGAATTTGCACCTTGAGGGAGCATTTTTCCCTGAAGGCAGGGAGACAAAAACAGCCCAACGACGAAGAAGGATGGCAAAAGGAATCGCAAAGATACGAGTTCCAAATTAGAATTGCATCTTATTGCTGTGTCACTCAACACCTGAGGCCTTTGCCGTATGCTTCACCCTGTTGAGCTTGCCATACAGCATTGTACTGGCATCGACTCTGATTCCGGGGCTGCTCTTTCTTTGGGTCTTGATTCCAGGAACGATCGTTTGCCTCAGCATCTCGCCGTACTTGCTGAGGCGTGCACGAGCAATTCAACAGCATGTATTGATTCAGAACACAGAAGTCGTGTCAAGGAACCTGAAGTTGGTGTGCTCCAAGTCAGGCAGCCCGCGATGGAGGAGCTTTACGACTCAGATGAGGAGCCAACCCTGCTGGCCTATGCTGGCCAATGCTGGTTTGATTCCAAACCAGTGTCGCACTTTCAGAGATCTCTTTAGTCATCCTGTCAGCTTGAAACGTGTGAGCCATGCCGCTAATTAGACGACCAGTCCAGGGCTGCTTCCTGGATGCCAGATGGGGCCTGGAATCTTGAAGATAGAAATTGCATGAAATTGCAGTTGGAGAGCGAAGGCACATGTCATGATGTTAAATCTCGCAATCCAGGAGTGGGAGTGCATGGAAGTGGACCTCCAGGGCACGGCATTGGAACGGCCCTTGCGCCTGGCAGGTGCCACACGAACAACGGCTCAACGGTGTGATTGATTTGTGTCCGAAAGGCGTCAAAGGGCCTGAACAGCCTGAAGACCTTGGGCAGTCAGGATTGTTTACTTCAGGTTTTCGGGAACAAAGGATTTTGTAATGGCATGCTGTTTTGACTTCCGGAATGGGTGACTCGAGGTCCCCTCTTCCCCTCAAGAGCTCGAAAGTTCAGGGGTGAGCTTGATGGAAAGGCTATCTTTGGTGGACGGTGCCCTTGCTGGATGTCAGCTGTGTGATCTCTCCAAAGATTTTGACGTATTGGCTGGGCACTGCAGCTGGTCTTGGCGTTTGGAGCAACACATCGGCACAATGTGATCAGTGATTCTTGTGTTCTCTTCCAGTGCTTATATTTACACACGACCGTGTTCGTCCATTACGCACATATCAAGTTTTCACGTGTTTGCAAAGTTCAGAAGGCACAACAGAGGTCAAAGATTCACCTACAGTAGCATGAGAGACAACATGACACATGCGACATACCGTGTGCGGATGTTGACAAAACGGTGATCATGATGATGGTGAGGATTTGGGATATTGGATATCTGGAATGATGGTGTTTGAATGCTACAACATCGTGGAATATCTTCAAGATCCCTGACCGCACTTTCTGCGTTCTTGACTACACTAGCTCTAAGTTCCCTCAGGCTTTTGGAAGCTTCTGGGCGATGAGCTACATTCAGTGGCTCTTTTGATCTCCGGGTTTGGGTGTCCAGAGATTGACAGATCTGGTGATCTGTGGGGACTTTCGCGTGGACTAGATGACTTGGCGATGGTCCTTGACACGATGTGTCTGGAGGAGCCCTTTCCAGAATTCGCCATGGATCTCAAGGACAACATCTAACCCCATCTCCAAATCACAGGAGTCATGGTGGCGCATGGTGGCGCTATGGCCCCGTGAGATACTGCAGGTGCAGCGAGCATGCAAGGTGATTTGCAGGGCCCTACTGACTGTGGACGTAGCAGGGCAGCAGGGCAGTCGGCACTGTGGGGCAAAGTTCTCGGAATTTGACAAGCCAGCCTGTGAACCTCGCCTATGTTCCTTGTTAAAAGAATCAATGTGGTGAAAGGGCAGCAAGGAGCTCTGCCTTTGCGATGTCCTCACCTCTTTAGATGAGAGCGGAAAAATGACAGTCTCAAGTCTCAAGCCATATACTGTACTGTATAGTTATCAGCTATCATCTTGACCAGCACCTTGACATGATAGGAGTTTGGAGGATACCCTTGCCATTTCACAACACTTTAGCTTGCGAACAACTTGTGACTGCAGTGGATCTAAAAGTCTGAATTCCAAGCATTGGATAGCATTTGGGTGGCTGTAGTCTTTTAAGAGTCTTAACATGTCTTAACTTCCGTGAGGCCGAGCGGTTTCTACGCTTGGCTCTCCATCGGACCTTTCTCTTGGAGGCTTCCGAGAGTTCTCCTGGTCTGTGATCTAAAAGAAATCACCCGAGCAATGAGTAGTAGGAAGAAGATGTGAAACAACAGGTAGAGACAGTTCGAGTCTCGAGCAAGCTTTAAGCAGCCCGACGCAAATGGCTCGGTTTAAACAATGCTACATCCTCCTACGTCTCAATGAGGTTGCCTTCAACAAAGATCATCACAACATTTGTCAAAGAATCTGGACATTTTCAAAGGATTTCAGCAAGATGTAGCAAGTGTTTGTTGGTCAGAAGTGGCCAGGAGCATTTGGGGAAACGTGGAGGTGCGCACGCGTGGCGGGGCGTGGCAGGAGTTGATCGGAAAGTAGGCCAGCTGAATTTGCATCCTTGCACAGGGTGCTTGAAGCAGGTAGGGCCAAGTTGGAACCAACGTGGAAAGAGACTAGTCACAGCTGGCGGTGGTGTTTTAGTGGTCGCCTGTGCAGTGTGCATGGCATTCTGCACCACAATCGCCGCAGCTTTGCTCAAAACATGGATATTCAAGATGCAATGGCATCTTCGCTGTGGGACTTCGGTCGCTGATGCCCGTGGGGAGATTGAAGAAGTTCGTGCCTGACAAGGGTTTCGGCTTCATTTCACCTGATGATGGCTCCTCTGTCGACAATTGGGCGACAAGTTGGCCAGCTCTGTCGACATCCAACTTCTCTGGGGTAGAAAAAGAAAACACTAGACTTTGCTCCAACCTAAGACCTAAGAGTGATGGCCTCTAACCTCATAGCAGTGGCCTCCACCTAATAGCGATGGCCTCCAACATAGTAAGTAGCGATGTCGACTTCGACATGCAAACTAGAAAGGCTTAGTTTAGGATGTGCAGGTACACTCACAGCCAACGGATAGTCTTGCGTCGGTTTGTGGCAGATGACTGTACCACATAGGAGACGCATGACTGTACAAGGGGGCTTGCGAGAGGACGTTGATGCTCCAAGGTAGCCCAGATGTCTTTGCGCATACGCTGCAGTTTACTGGTGATGCTGACAATCTTCGCGGGGGAGAGAAGGTGACCTTTGTGGCTCGGTGTTCGAAGGGCGTTGTGACATGTGCGGGGATTTTTTAGCCCGCTGAGTAGGCGCCTACTTAATTAAATAAGGGCGGCTAAGTTAGCTTATAGGTAGGAAGCACGATAGCTCACGCTTCTTCAAGGAAGCTCCCCCCGTCGCCCTAAAAGCAGCCGGGGGGGAGCTCGGCTTACAGTATATGTAACGTTTGGAATCATTTTGGTTGCCATGGAGCCTGCAATGGTCCAGTGAGGAGACCGAATGGGACGAAAAAAAACAGAAGGCTCGAGCAGTGACTTGGAGCTTGGATGCCTCTGCTGCTGTCATCATGCGAAGTGGCATGGTGAAGAAGTACTTTTCAGACAAGGCAGGTGTCGCCGACGAATCTCAAGGGACCCTGGATAGTTTACAATTCAACACAAAGCATCAGCAAGGTGACGACCATCTCAATTGGTTTGCAATTGGAAGTGCTTTGAATAGGAAAGCGTAGTATAGATTGGCCATCCGACCTTCATTCATTGACCACGCAATACCATACAGAGTTGTTTGAAGCCGGTTTTGAGGGCCCGAAGGGAGCAGGAAAAAGCCTTTGCCGTGGGATGAGCTCGAGACAGCCATCAGCACTGAATCCAAACAAGTGGTACATCACCGGTAAATGCATTCATCATGGTCAGATGTTGTCAGTGTCACCGCGATTCGCCCGGCTTCGAATCCTGACTGCAGTCAACCCAGTCCAGTCAGAAAGCCTCAGTTCATCCAACTTCTCTGGGACCTCCAAGGACGCTACTAGGGGCTCCTGGCATCGCTACTAGGAGCAAGGATGCTACTGGGAGCAAAGGGCATCGCTACTAAGAGCAAGGACGCTACTAAACAAAAACAGAAGAAACCCATAGACCCATAGAATATACTCCAACCTAAGAGCGATGGCCTCCAACCTAAGAGCGATGGCCTCCAACCTAAGAGCGATGGCCTCCAACCTAAGAGCGATGGCCTCCAACCTAAGAGCGATGGCCTCCAACCTAATAGCGATGGCCTCCAACCTAATAGCGATCGCCTCCAACCTAAGAGCGCTGGCCTCCAACCTAATTGCGATAGCCTCCAACCTAAGAGCGATAACCTCCAACCTAATAGCGATGGCCTCCAACCTAATAGCGATGGCCTCCAACCTAATAGCGATAGCCTCCAACCTAATAGCGATAGCCTCCAACCTAATAGCGATAGCCTCCAACCTAATAGCGATGGCCTCCAACCTAATAGCGATGGCCTCCAACCTAA